AACAAGATCGTCCACAAGACAACTGGAGCTTTGAACTGTAAATTATAACTTTTATGGATTATATACTTTAATTAGTTGTAAAGTTTTACAATGGTTTAGATTACGTTTCTTGATTTATACATGGTGTATATATTTATTAATATGAAAATATAATTTAGTTATCATTAAGTTTATATGACAACATAATCAGTAAAACGTTTATAGTTATAAAAAAAAAAAAAGAAAAAAAAAGAGTTATTCAACAACCATTGGGAAGTACTTTGTTTTACTTTGTTATATTTTATTTTAATATGAACTAAAAATTTGAGATCACTATAGTGTTTGGATGATACCTATTTAAAAACCACCAGCGATACACATCTACATACATGCTGCCAAGGTATAATAGGTCATACCTATTATACCTGGATACGATTATAACACATGGCATACATAAAACGTATGTTATTCGACACGAAATAAAAGCCACTAAGACTGTATAATAATATGTAACGTCCTATCTCATTTTATTACAGTCCAGTCATATGCCGTATGTCGTAATCATCGTTTAATTGTTAGGTGTAAGAAGCAAAAGTATTGTAAATTATTTAACATTTATCACGTATTGTCGTCGCATCAAACAAAGGTGGGAATACAATTTAAAAAAAAAGACTACAAGTAAAGAAAGAAATTATTTAAATTTTGAATCCGTGTTTATGAATTTATATACTTTACGCTATTTGTAGTGATTTATCGCCCGAAAAAAAAAATAAAATGAAACCGGACGTATACACTTAATTTTACAGTGACCTGGAGGAAGCAGTAGCTGTTTGATATATGCCAAAATTTGTTATGTAATTTTAAACTATCATACATGATTTAAAAATTAATGAATTATTGGTCAATACATTCCACATTATTTTTATAATCATAATTATAACTAATATTATTATTATTATTATTATTATTATTATTATTATAATTATTATTATTATCATTATTATTATTTGCATTATTACAATATACTTGTCACATTAGCGGGCTTTGTACTTTCCATAAAACTGAGTTCAAAGGAACATTTCCGATTATTAATTGTTTTTTGAACTAAAATATAACGAGTAACCATGAAAAAATTATATTATTATTATTTTGATTTTAATGAATCAAAAAAAAAAAAAAAAATTTAATCTAAACTAATTTAAACAGGCTTTATTGAAACACATGAGGTCTTATTTATCTATTTTTTATTATAAAAATCTCAAGCTTAAACATAGGATATGTTATTATTTTATTCTTTTAATACAAGTTGAAAAATATATTGGGATATAATAATAAATAGTTCGTAATAATGTATAGAATACGTATTTGAGACAATTTATTTTAAAGGTTGAAGTGATTTCTGGACAGCCAGAATAAAAAAAAAGTTGAAGTATACATTCAACAACTGGGTATATATCATCCGAGGATTTCGATTACTAATGCTTTTGTAAGAAAATATTTTTCGCCGAAAAAAGTATAGTTTCAACTAAATAGATATTACGTTATATTTTTGATGTTTATATGTTTTCGGCAGAAATATTTCCCAGTACTCGTATATACTTCCTTATAAGTTATACAACAATCAATTCGCTATTAATGTATTATTATTATGCTTTTCCGGTATACTTTTTGATTTTTTAGAATAACCGGCAATTGTCAATATAATAACAAATGTAAACATTTCTTGAGTTGTACACATCGATATGTTTTTTCTTTGTTTTATACATAATTATTATCTAAATATTGTCGTATTCACCAAGTTTTTTGTGTAAGAAGTCAGTAATTCTATTAAAATTCTATTCGCCCCAAAATATGTATAACATAATAATTTATTCTGTAAATACTAATAAATACAAGAACATTTAACTATAAAAATTACACCAAAAATAATTATTTGAAATATTTTCTTAAGATGGCACTGATTTAAAAAAAGACATGTTTTTAAGTCTCTCTCTCTCTCTCTCTCTCTCTCTCTCTCTATATATATATATATATATATATATATATATATATATATATATATATTACATATAAATATATATATTTGCGTGTTAGGGTGGACACTTACACTTGATACATGTATAAACAAGGAAAATGAAATAAATATGAAAAATAAAAATAAATAAAAACTTAGGTATTATTCCTCTTCGTTTTACGTACGAAATCGATGGTCGAGAGTCAAAAATACAATAAGCACTATGCGCACATTCGAGTACAAGTTGTCTTATATTACGTTTGCACGCGAATTTTGTTTGTATATTCACTTTATCACTATTCGTTATCCGAATGACAGAGTGACAGGAAAAAGCAAAAAGCCCTTTTTGCAAAACGACCAACCTTTAGAGCTACGAGGAAACATATTTAAGTGCCATCGTCGGATACCTACCGGAAACGTATTCATCGTGTATTTTTGCATTGCAATCTCCGAAAAATGAAAAATAGAATATTTATAAATTTAAGTGTTTCATTGCAGATACTATGCCGTTAAAATATTTTTTGCACTAAATTATTATAATTATGCAGTAGAGTTTAACATATATATTTAACAAACTTGAACGTTTATTGATAATAAGTCATTCAATAGAAATATATCTTCGAAAAAAAAAATTAAATTTGTTTCACATAAAATACACATTTTTTTATTTTAAAGAAATAATTTATATAACAACATAACTATAATTGACAATGTTATAAATTATTGACAGTAATATTGTGTGAATTATACAGCTAAATTTAAGTCTTCATTAAAATGTAAAAATATATATATATATATATATATATATTGACCTAATTCAATAACTAATATCCTAGTAGCCGATGTTTTTATGTTCAGTTAAAATAAAAAAAAATATTATTTTAATAGTATATTTTTATAAACTGGATACTTAATATTATTATGTGTACCATAAACTTTGTTATATATTTTTTATTTTTATTTTTTTTTTTGACTCGAAAAATTCTTATATCTTTTGAACTACTATCGTATCATTCTGACTTTAAATTTTTATAAAATCAAAAATTTCATTGCATCTGTTTTTGATATAAGCTTAACTCTATGATGAATTATACCGAAAACAGCTTATCCTTTCAGAAACTTTAATTCACCACACGTTTGAAAGTTCAACAAAACAATTATTATTAATAAAATAATAATATAAAATTAATCCATTAAACAAAAACGGTTTTTAATGAAAATATCGTTAAATATAAAAATTCATCATGATTGGTTTCGTTTAATAAAAATTTGATAGTATACCCTACATACGTAAAGTAAATTATTGCGTTCTATCGCGTATAATAACAATCGTGTATGCTAACTTGATGTTGCCCAAAATGTATCTAAAATTCTAAATGTTATCACTCTTAAGTTATAAAATAAAAATTACTTGATTGTATTTAGACAAAAAGGTTTAGTTATAATTTGTAGTTAAAATTGTATATTTAATAGTAGTGAATATCAAAATATCGTTTGTAGATTGTTGATAATATTAATTCGCTTCTGCTATGGCACACATTTCTTTACTTTGATTAATAAATGAATAGCTAACTGCAGAAACGGGACAAGTCCACTTTTCCTAATTTTTCAGGAATGATGAAAAACTGAACATGATATGTTCCCTTTCAGCAGTAAAGTGAAATTTCCAAACGCTATATTTAGCGTTTGGATAGTCGGATTTGACTCCTTTCTACAGTAAACGATGTATTTACGCGTACTTAACAAAAAATGATAATAAAATCAAATTTGATAAAAATGGACTTGTCCCGTTTCTGCAGTTAGCGATTCAAATGTGTTCATACTACGAAATATCCATACATTTCAACATACAAATCGATCGTGGTTCCGTTATTTGGTGCACTATATTTCATAGGTCTCATAACCCGAACTCCAGTAACTTTTTAAAGTTACACATTCATGATGAGTTAAACCACACTTTTTCCCTGAACGAGTGCTATTGCAGCAGTAATAGTTGATTATTTTTACTGTGCTAGATGGTTCCTCACAACGACTCCAATTATAAATACATAACATAATACTATTCACATTATTTGAGTTGCATCAGTTTACTCACATATACTCTATCGCGACGTCGGCTGTTTTATCTCTTCGAAGTTCGTCTCGACTACAACTGAAAAAATGTCACCCCTATGTGACTTAGAAAAAAAACACGACGGCCGTGTGTTTGATGTGCGAGATTCGGTGGTGGTTGTCAACATGTGCGCACCGGTTACACATATTGCATATTTAATATCATATGCATGTGAATGTAAGCGAAAATGTAATTAATTACTCGGTCATAGTTTACGGCTTCAGTGGCTAATAAATAATCACGTACATCGTACGGAGGAGATGAGATGTTATCGTTGACTAACACGAATCCCTCACCGTACAAGCGTAAAATTATAAATATTAGTAGTCAAAAATCATAATGCACATCAAATTATACAAATTAAGACGTGTCTATAAGATGGCTATGGCACAAAGCTGTATCAATTTGAATTCATGATAAAAAATACGTTAAAAATCTCCCAGTTTCCCAGAAGTGTGTAGTTCAACGTGTAGAGTATATTATCAAGGTTAGCGAGTTTTAGAATTTCTAAGATTTAGAGGCGAATTTTTGTTTAATTTTATATTTTATTAATAATTATTTAGTTAAAAACATAGCATAAAAATAACATTAGTAGTATCATTGTACAAACAGAATCGAATAAATAGTTCCACCATTGTGCATGTCCAGAGCCCAACTTAGGAAATATGGGCCCGGGGCAATATAATTTTAGGGGCCTTTAATATTTGTTTAATATAATTTAAAAATTACAGTCAACATTAAAATAACATTATTGCATTAGTGAACAAAAGTTTTATTTACAGATCAAAAATCAATTGTTAATAGTTGTATAATATTTAAAAATAATTATTAAGTACCGATAAAAATAAAAAATATTAATTATTTATTAATGTTTTCTAAATTAAATATAAAAATTTAAGTCAATGGTTTCTTTCGAGATTTAAGTTCAGTAAACTTCTGAATTAGATTTGAAAAATCCAATGTGTCAGTTATTTCCCTTTCAGCAGATAGACGAACGAGCGAATTTAATTTTTCTTGGTAAAGGGACGTTCTTCTGGCGTTTTCAATAAGTTGTAATTTTGAATTTGTTCTTTCTGCTTCACAATTCGAAATCGGCAAAGTTAAATAAATTCGTAAAGAAATATACACATTTGGAAAGACTTCTTTTAAATTATTTTCATGTAAATATTTTGAGGAGTAATTATTGGTAAATTTAACTGCATTGCATAATTTGAAAAGTGCACAATCTCTTGTTTTATATTAGTTGTATCAATATCATCTTTAAATGTGCTAATGAATATGTCGGCAGAAGTCTCTGATAATAATTCTGAACCAAATTTTGTAATAAACCCAAAAATATTACAAACATTATCATATGCGTTTAATCTTTTATCAAGTTCTGTAACTAAACGATTAATAATAACGTAAAAAGTATCAATCTCTAACTTTCTTATACCACAATAGTTTGAATTTCCTTCTACTGTACCTACTGTACCATCCGAGAATTTTTTTTTTTTCTTACACTTTTTTCAACACAGGGCAGAATATTTGTTGATAATACCCTTGCTTTATTCTCAAAATATATAAACTTCTCTCTTAATGAACTAACATAAGTTTTTAATCCTTTTAATAAATTTACGGCTGTAAATAAATCTATTCCCGGTTTTTGAAGGTATTTACTTACACTGTTAAACTGCAATAAAATTTCACTCCACATAACTGCCATAAAAGCTGTTTTAAATTGTATCATTTTATTTTTCATTGATTTAGCCTCATGACGATTTTCTTGTTTTTCATTACAATTTTCAAAAATATCTGTTAATGTACATATAATTTGGTCATAATTTAAGATAATAGCTTTACAAATCTCCGTGTGACACTCCCCCCCAAGTATTACTTAATGTTTTCAAAACGATTATTTTATTTTTCTCTTCCGATTTTAGACCAGTCAAAAGCAAATTCCATCTATATGTCGAGGCCGCAAAAAATTCATACAATTTTTGAACAACACCAAAAAAATTGATTGCTTCTAAACATCTTTTCACTGCATGTGACCCTACTAAATTTAGGGAATGAGCAAAACAAGGTGCAAATAAAGCAACACTACATTTTTTTTTTTTATTTGAGCCTGTAAACCCTCATATATACCAGTCATATTATTAGCATTGTCGTATGATTGACCTCTACAATACTGCAAATTAATATTATTATTTTCCAAAAAATGTATTACTTCTTTGGTCATTGAAATACCAGTATGGCTTAATATATGAATATATGTTAAGAATCGCTCAAAAACTAACCCTTTATAACAGTATCTAACAACAACAGCAAATTGATCTCTATGTGCTCTAGCTAGAGTAGAATCTAAAATTAGACCGAAGTATTTAGTTTCTTGTAACTGTTTAGTTATTTCTAATAAAACTTCATTTGCCATTAGGTCAATTATTTCGTTACAAATACGCATCGAAAAATAAGATACATTGCCTGATCCTTTATTAGCGCGTTCATTCATATGTTGTTTTAAAAAAGGATCAAATTCGGAAATAACTTCAAGAATTCCAAGAAAATTTCCATTACTCGGAGAACCCAACCGTGAGTCATTACCTTCAAATGCTAACCCACGAACAGCCAAAAATTTAACAACTGATACTACACGGTGCAACACTTTAACCCAATACTTTTTTTCATTCAACATTTTTTCGGCCAAAGTTTTGTCTATACGATGTTTAGTGTTTACACGATCTAACCAAGTTAACCTTGATTTACGATGGTGTGCACTATTTTCATGTTCTTTAAGTTTTTCGTAAGATTTTTTCCAATTGTTAAAACCAGGATTAATAAAACTTGAATTATTTGATTTATTAAATAGTTTACAAACAAAACAGTAAACGTTGCCAGTTTGTTCAGAAAACATAAGCCATTTACGTGAGTGTATTTCACCATTAGGCAATTTTAATTCGAATAATGAGATATTTAATGAGCGATTATAATTTTTAAATTTTTTTTCGGAAGAATGAAATTTTTTTGGTTCCATATTCTGAAAAAATGCTGGTCCTTTTAAGCAGCATAATTCTATAAAAGTGTTGTTTAACACTTAAGGCCACATTCCCGGATCTTGATATGATTCAATATCAATTTCAAAGTTATGAACATCCGAATTAAAATTAGTAGCAATCACTGAATTTTCTACTGCAGAAAAATTGTCAGATTCATTTTCAGAAAAATTTAAAGCATCATAGTTTGAAGTGATTATTGTATTAGACATAATACTATTACTATCGTTATTTTTGTTTTCAACATCAAGATAACTATTATTTAGAACCAAATCATCTTTATTATTTGTATTAGCTTATACTTCAACTTCGTTCACACTGTTGAAAAATTTAAAAAAATTCGTTGATTTAGGTAATTTGCTTACTGCATCTTCAGCCTCTTTCTTTAATTTTCGTTTTGCATAACCACTGAGATAAATCCTTTTTTTGTCAGACATTTTCAAATTTCAATAGTATTTATTATACACTAACAACGAACAAAACTCACGAACTCTATTGCGATTCGTGTTATCATACAAGTGTTTAAACTTGGCCTATAGGTATACACGTTGATGATTAGCTGATAGAATGGGTAAATATAAATGGTAGTGTTTTTGGCCAACTTTACCTCAAAATGTAATAGCTTTATGTTATCGATTAGATGATAATTTTAAATCCATTACGAAACATGACTAATTTGTTTTGTAAATTTTAAACGAAAGAGATAATATCTTAAAAATTTACAATACCACTTAAATATTTAATTGTCAACAGAGGCCCGGGACCCCAAATAATATCGGGGCCCGGGGCTGTAGCTCCCCTAGCCTCCCTTCAAGTTGGGCTCTGTGCATGTCGATAAACTTGAATAAAACACAGTTGAAAAACGTATTTATACATTTTTAACAATACCGATTCCACGCTGTATGCCAATGATTGTAGGAATGTTTTGTATATTTTTTAACCATTAAGTTATCGTATTTTGAAAAGCTTAACGATTTGATTATCAAACATACTATGTACTAATTATTAATGTGCTAATATATTTTACTAATAATTGTTAATGACAAACGCATCAGGGTATGCTTAATAATATACTTCAATTTTTGGTTTAATTTAAGCATGATCAAGATTACTGAAAAATGGGTGAAAATTTTAAATATGCTAGATTTCACGTACATTAAAAAAAAAGTAGTATTGAAATTGTGTGAACGAGAAATTGAGCAATATGCATAAACATTTACGTACAGAATTTAAGTGTTAATTAATGTACAATAATTAATAATGGTAAGTTTACGTGAAATTTCATTCATTAATGAAACACAATTTATACAGTTATGTTTAAATAATATATAAAATATAAGTACTGAATTCTGTATTTATAGAGAATGTAAAATAATGTAAAACAAACAAACATATAATTGGCTATAATATATATTAATGTGGGTAAACAAAACTACTTTGATACAAATACTGGTAGTCTTATATCAATAAGTGTAATATTAAGTAACAAAATATTTAATTTAAAACACATCTTATATTGTTTATACTTAATTATACTATTATATCGACATCTCAGTTCAATACTTCAATAACTCAAATTATGAAACTACTGGTTCTAGAATGAAATAAACGACCTCTAGAGGTGAATAATACAACTTAAAGTTATTGCGTTGTAGAATCGAAATCGTCATAATTTTGCAAATAATATCGCGTAGATAACTCAATTCTGAATATTTTTGAGTTATTGCTGTCTTGAACTGAGGCGTCGATATCTCAAAAATAGTTTTTTTGAGTTATTGCAATCTTGAACTGAGGCGACGATATGTTTTCAGTAAAACTTTTAAACATGATTAAATGATTATTAACATATTACAGATAAAAAATCATACTGCCAAAGCATGGCAACAATATTGGTTAATACGGAAGACTAAATTCAACAAATTCAACACATCTCGCTTCCCCTTTAGATAACTCCAGAAGACCAAAATTAATTTTAATTATATATTATTATAGGCCATACTTTAATCACCCAACGATACCTAATGACAAAAAAGTATATAAGTAAATTAGATTTGTTTCTTTTCATCTATCCTTCCCCTAAAATCTAATTCTGAACAGGTTATTATTATTATTATTATTATTTAATTTATTCGGGAAACTTTTTATTTTAACGATTTAGTTTTTATATTACTCATTACTATTTATTACTACTTTTTCATTGTATTGTCAATTTGTTAATGCAATTTTATTGTTGAGCTAAATAACAAATAAAAGCTACTTTAAACTAAAAGTAAAATAGATTTTAAATTAATTATATATACTTAAATTTTATTTAAGATATACATTTAAAAACTTATAAATATATATATATATATATATATATAATATACGCATTGAAGGGTTAATTCTAAGAGTTATAATAAATCAAAAATTTAAGAATAAAGAAACAGTCTAGATGTATGTAGCTAATATAGGAACTAGTTAATAGAGTCTAGTGTAAGCGTATATGTGTATATGTGTACCGAAGTTCATGGTGCCTGATGTTTTCAGATGATATAGTGTGAGTGTAAAAAAAGACCAAATTAAGTAAATAAAAAAAAATTAAGAGTGGGGAGGCCTTGAAGATAAATATAATAAGGATTAGTAAGAGTAAAACCCAAAGAATAATTTTATTCCCTTATTTTATAACTATTCAAAATTTGAATTTTTGAAAATTTTGAATTTTTATCAAGCTGTTAGTAGTTTACTTAATATATTCAAAATTTCTGGAAATTATTATGGCCCGTTTTGATGAAAAAATTAGAAAATATTTCTTGGAAATTAAGTTATATTCACTATATTAGTTTAAATAAACTGGTCACTAATTACAATTTTAAAATTAAATTATAAAATAATTAAAAAATATGAGTTTGTCAAAATATCTAAATTAAAATTAGAATATAATTTATCATTTTTTTATCATTAAAAAGCTTGTAAATTTATGAAATTTATCAAAATTGTCTCAAATTTAAAAATTGTTTTATCATTTTGGAAAATAAATGCGTGTAAATTAAAAAAAAAATAAAAAAAAAATTATGTTTTGAACAACTCACATTTTTTATTGGTAAATAGTACAATATAATATTCTTCAGTTTTACATTTTTAGACAAACATAAATAATAAAACTCATGAAATTTCTTTAAAATATACAATCAGTATATATGTAAGCATAAAACTTAAAGATTGAGCTTTATAGTGTCTGTATAAATCATTTAATACAAATGTTTTAGAGTTAAAAGAAAAATAAATGTATTATTATTATCATTTATTATTAAACATTTTGTTACAATGTACAGCATTCAGAATTATTATTTCCCCATTTAATATGTTTATATTGTGTCAATATAATGAATAGAAATATAGAAAAATGGATATTTTATTAACTTTTAACAATTAACATATAAATCTTTAAAAATAAAAATTTAATAAAATATTTAATATATAAATAAAGATTTCTTTTCAATAACAAAATAAAATATAAAGTTCCAAATCCAAAATTTAAATTTAAAAAAAACTGAAGATAAAATCTTTCGAAAGAGATTTTTTGTACTTATATAAATGTCAACCAACCAATGATAATGGATGGATTATTTTGAATTTGAATTTTATAAAAGAATTTATTTTTTAAAACTAAATTTACAAATTCATAATAATAGTGAGTTTTGTCCCCTGTTTTTCTCTTGTTCGATAAACTCTCTCCTTCATGATTGTCGTTCTATGTTGATTATTATTTCGTATTCATTTCACAAAAAATAAAAAAACATTGTATAATATACTTATATTTTATCGTACACAAAAGGTAGGGTAATTACAATTGTTCAACGTTCAATGGATAATGCAAGCCAAACTTAACAGTTCCACGTGTAAAATATTACATTCAGAACCATTTTTCAAAAAGCGATGACAATTCATAATTTCTTTGAAAGTATCAAGACCCCTGCTCGTGGCTACTTCCATCATCAACTGGTCAAATAGGTTTATCCACGGGCCACAGCATTGTAACTACGTTGATAACTCAAATGAATCAATAAACGTGCCGGGTAAAAATGTTTAGTTGCAAAATTAATAACGACGTTAAAGTATTATAGAAGTGGTGAATATCATGTTCACTTGAAGTTTGCAAGATTGTCTAGTTTTAATATTGGTAATTCAAAATTATTACTAATTAAGTTGAGAAAACAACGGTCAACACAGATAACGGTAATTATATAGTATAAATAAAAATAAAACGTCGTAGGAAGTATAATTTTGTTTTTTATTATATTTTCCTTGGTCTAAAAATGGAGTAATATTTTATTACTAAAAAAGAACCAAACATCAAAATGTAAAACCACGTTATTTGTAGGTCACGGATCAAATCAAAAACTGAACTCAAGAGCCTCTAGGCGGCGAAGAAATGATTTAAAAAGTTTTCGCTTTATCACAGAAAAACTAAAAGATAACACTTTATAATTATTATTGCTTGACTTCCATTAAATACTGGTGAATTATTTTCATAAGATTTAGTATCAGAAATACTTCACATATCACATTCAAATATTATTTATCAATACAATTTATGTTTAATTTTTTTTTTTTTTTTATAAAAGTTTCAAAATTATTGACATATATTAATTAACATTAAATATTTGTTCAATTTATATCAGGTAAAGTATATTTTTTAACAATACATACAGTAATTATAATATGAATCAGGAACAGTAAACGTCGATTCGATTAAGTAACCGGTCTTATAAGAGTAAATAAATAAGTGTTAGAATCTTAATCATCAC